CACTAGAAGTGGATAACTATGAAAAAAAATGAAACAATGAAAATAGATAAAGTCAACATTCTGAAAAATAAATATTGATCGTATAGCTGCTATACACCAAAGCACCTTATTGAGCCTTGTCAAGCCTTATTGAAAAATAAAGAGTAAAATATGAAGGCCACTTTGATATATCAAGATAATAGTAATTGAAATTAATTACTTATTGGTTTTTCTATTTATAAATAAAATGTTTTATATTTCTTATAATTTATATCATATAGTAATGGTTACAAATTTATTTTACTATTTATTTATGTTTATGAGGAATATATTTATTTTTTTATTTTGTATTGATTTATTTGATTATTTATTTTATGTTAATATTATATATGATATATCAATCGAATAGAAAGCTCTAGAAGAGTGACTATACTATTACTTGAAGAGATAAATTTTAAAAGCTCTAGAAGAGTCAATATATTATTACTTAAAGTGACATAATTTAAAGACTTTAGAAGAGTAAATATGTTATTATCCGAAAGGACAAATTTTATTATAAATGATGTACTATTCTTTTAAAAGTCTCATAAAAATTTATTGAGTTACAAAGATATTCATCTAAATTGATATCATATCAAGATAGCAAATTTGAATACTTATATATTATAATTATTATATCGGATAGAAAATATGTATTAAAAAAATTACCCACTTTCTCTTCTACTATTTGTTATAAATATTGGAATAATTAAAATAAATGTTATAGTAAACTAGAAGTTTACTAATTCAAATACATTTATTATGTGGCATGACCAGTTGTGCTATCCTCGATCTTTCATGATGTGAAAAATTATTAAAAATTCATATGAATATTTATTGAAAAGCTAGAAGATTCTTCAATTTGATTAATTTTCATGTTCTATATGTTGTCAAGACAAATTGATAATTAAGCCATCACCAAGTAAAATTGAGATTGAATCTCTAGTATTTTTAGAACGTATTTAAGGTGATATATATGGATCAATTCATTTATCGTATAGACCATTTAAATATTTTATGATTTTAATAAATGCATCCATAAGATGATCACATATATGCTTATTATCTACTTGAAACTTGACGTTTACGAGATTGCTAATAAATAATTTGATTTTGAGCATAATTTTCAAATTATGCCATTAAGGCAAGTCACCTTGATCATGCTCGATGAATTTCTTTCTCAAGCATTAAATTATTATGATTGGCTATTAGAATAAAGATTGAATAGCCCGTTGCTCATGTTCATATTCAGAAAGGTTTAGCAAAATTATTTATCAAAAGGTTCCAATTGATATTTAAACCATTATTTAAAAATAAAACTCCCTATTTATGTCCGGGGACATGATATCTTACATGCGAGTAACATTTATTCATATCGGACCCATAAGTTATTAGAAATTCTCTCCTCTTCAATTGATTTATGGTCATGAGCCAAATATTTCTTATTTAAGAACTTTTGGCATTACAATGTATATCCGTAGTGCTCCACTATAATAAAATAAAATGGACACTTAAAGGAGATTGTGAATATATATTGGATTTGAATCCTCTTCGATAATTCAATCTCATGATTCATGAGCAAGAGATATTTTTACGAGCTCGATTTATCGATTGTCATTGTGATGAAACAATTTTTTCAATATTAGGAGGAGAGACTAAACAAAATAAGCAATTAGGAATGTTGAAAAAAGAGTTTACATGGAGTAATCTATCTTTATATCAACTTGGTACAACATAATGTGAATTAGAAGTGCGAGAAGATGATTCGTTTATAAAAGTATTACAAACCAACTCGCTAGATGCTTTCTCGGATACTAAAAGAGTAACTAAAATACATGTTCTCACCGAGAATGCTCCTATTAGAATTGATGTCCTACAAGGACAGTCTATTAATCTTATAACTAATTAATCTAAAGTACGCTTGAAACGTGAAAGACCGATCGATTTTAAGGACAAAAATCTCTAAAAAAAAGGACAAGATGAAAATATAAAGGATGTAAATCTTCATAAAACGATCTAAGATATTTCGATAATAGGCTTCCGGAAGAAGTCCAAATGCTTGAGAAAAATCAAGAGATTTTTATAAATTATGTCAATATAGGGAGAAAATAGGATAAAAAAAATTATTGATAAGATTTTTGCATATAATGTTGCAGATTGATATTTGGAATGAAAATAAGGGTCCCGAGCTAAAATTTATTGAAGAATATCAACATAAAGATGATTGACCTAAATGATAAATTATGTCAATACAAGGAGAAAATAGGACTGAAAAAAATATTTATTGATAAGATTTTTACGTATAATGTTGCAATTGATATTTTGAATGAAAATAAGGATCCCGAGCTAAAATTTATTGAAGAATATCAACATAAAAATGATTGGCTTAAATGAAAAGAGCAATCCAAGTAGAATTATGTTTTCTTATAAAACATTAGTTTTTTTTAACCCATAGCTAAAACACTTGAAGATGTTAAGCTAGTGGGATATAAATATGTATTTATGTAAAAACGAAATAATAAAGATGAGATTGTAAGATATAAGAGTTTTCGCAAAGAACTGATATTGACTATGAGGAGACATATTCTCCTATAATGGATACAATTATATTTTGTTATCTCATTAGCACTGGTAAAAGATATGAAAAAAATCCATATGCATGAATTTAATAAATGTGATCATAGTTTATTTGTTCATTTGAAATGAAATCTATATGAAAGTCCTAAAAGGACTTAAGATGCATGAAGTATGTAATATATATTTTCAATAAAAGAATTCAATTAAGTTATAGAGATCTCTATTAGGATTATTTTAGTTTTTTGAAATTCAATTTATATTATACTTTTTATATTTTATATCTACTCGTTTATTACTAACCCGTGTGCATGTGATATAATCACTTTAATGATTATTGGAAGAAAGTTATAAAAAAAAACCCTATTTATTCATGTATTTTTACTTGAAAAGGGATTTTTGTATATGTTGATGACTTAAATATTATTGGAACTCCTAAAGAGATTCCAAATGTTATAAGTTATTTAAAAAAGAGAATTTGATGTGAATACCTTGAGAAAATAAAATGTTATCTCGACTTACGGTTCGAGCACTCGGAGAATGAGATTTTTATTCATCGATCAATTTATATAAAAAAGTTCTATAATGATTCTATATAAAGATCATTCATTGACTAGCCTAATGATAGTTCAATTACTTGATATCCAAAAGGATCCTTTTCAACCTTGAGAAGATAACGAGGAACTACTTGATCCCGAAGTACCATATCTTAGTGTCACTAGTGCATTGATATATCTTGCTAATAATACTCGACTCGATATAGTCTTTTCTATAAATTTATTAGGAAGTCATAGTTTTGTTTCAATATGGAGACATTGAAATAAAGTTAAATATATACTACGTTATCTTCGAGAAATAATTGATATGGGCTTATATTACTCTAATAAATCAAAGAAAAGATTAATTGATTATGCGGATGCATGTTATTTATCCGATTCACACAAAGCTCGATCACAATTGGTTATATATTTACATATGAAGATACAGCTATATCTTGGTGTTCTATGAAGCAAACTATAGCTACCACATCTTCAAATCATGCGAAATATCAATTCACGAGACAAATCGAGAATGTGTTTAGCTAAGATCAACAAGCCATCATATCCAAGAGACATGCAATTTATCTATCACTAAAAGAAGTTCTAACAATATCATATGAGGATAATGTTGTTTGCATAATTTCATTGAAGGAAGAATATATCAAAGTGACAATCCAAGTAGATTTATTCGTTAAAGCATTGCATATCATAACTTTTGAGAAGATGATTTACAAGATTGAAATACGTTATCTTAGAGATCTTAAATAATGATTTCAACAGGAGGAGACCAATATGGGGATTAACGTGTAAAAAGAATATTGTACTCTTTTTTCTTCATTATGATTTTTTTCCACTCGGGTTTTTTCCTAGTAAGGTTTTAACGAGGCAAATTCCTTGTACAATGGACATTTAAGGGGGAGTGTTATGAAATAATAAATGTCCATCATCATGTTCATCTACTTTTCATATCCTTACTACACATGATTCTTAATAATTCTTAATATAATTCAATTCATCATTCAATATGAGAAATTAAAAGGGTGATGCAATTGATTATTCATAGTCCCTTGTAATTCTCTTCTCAAATTTGAAGCCTATAAATAAACTTGATAGTTCATTATTTGTTGTACAAGCATTTTGTAGAGATTGTGAGATTTGTTTAGAGTTGTTATCTCATATATTCTCTTTATAATGAAATCATTTCTTCATCATTTTTCTATTCAATTCTCCTATTATTTCTATTTCTTTTATACACTTTTATAAAAATGCAGTCATTTCTTAATTGATTAAAGTAATATAACTCTTGTAATAAATGTATTTTGATGTACCATATTAAATGATGCATTGAATACTTTATTATTATTGTTATTTGATAATAATAAGCATAGTATTCTATATTTTATTAAAAAACAATCCAACACTTGCAATCCTTTTTTTTCCCCCTTCAGAATTCGGCGGGAGTTCGAAACAAAACTTGAGACTTAGAGCTAACAAGTTTAGCAAGCTAAGCATCTTAACTTTTAAATACGCTTCTTTTCTAAATTGAGATTGAAATACGTTGGCGATGACAAACATGAGAAAATAAAAAAACATAAAAATACCATCAATTTCTAATCAGTTATTGACACTTAAGATCTGTTTGGTATGATAGATATGATAAGACAGGATTTTTGCACTGTTTGGTGCATATATTAGATATGACGTGAGAAGTTTTACAGTTTATGCACATTGAATTGGACAGGGATTAATTTGTTTGGTATGCTATTTATTGCCTTCCGTTTCCTCCGTAATCCCTTCAACTTCCTCCTCAGAGTACGACTTGCTGCTGTCCATGTTTGCATCAAGCTGAATCTGGGAAGGGTTGTTGCACTATTCAATATGCACTACTATGGGCTTAAAACTGGAATTCTTTGGGAGCTGACCAGAAATGGGCATCGCTGGACTGGCTTGAATAGTAAAGGAGTCCGTTTGAGAAGTTGGGCTGGTCTGTGTCGAAGAACAGACGGGATTCGCCGACATTTTGTTCTTGGACCCGGGCTGGGCTGAAGTGGAAGTTCGGCCTTTTCTTTTTGGGCCTCTCATATGCTCAACTGGTTGTTTGTTGATCATCTGGTTCTTTCTGTTAGCAAAACGGGCCGCACTAGAAGCCTCATTAAAATTCTTTGCCTGGCTTGCAGTAGCTGGCAATTTCTCTTTATGGTTTAGGAGAATTGACAGAAGCATGTAGTCATGGCCAAAAGCTTCGAAACTTTGCTCGCTGGTATCCCTTTGAATCTCAGCTATCTTTTGCTCATCATTGTGTGCCATGATATAGCTCTCATTTACGTCTTGACACTAGGGTTTTTTTTTCAGTAGGAAAAAGTAAGCTACTATGCCCAGTACAACTCTCATAACATACCTTTTTTTTTTTTTTTTTAATCAATATCCTCCATTTTATCAATATTCTCGACTTACGAACTATTAATTATCACAAATATTTACATTTAAAAAAGTTTGTTTTTCATCTATTGAAATTCATATAAATCTTACGCCTTATATAAATAGGCAGTACAATGGTCCTATTTTGGAAATAAGAAATAAAAGAATTATCCATTAAAAAAAAAACACCCTTATAGGAGGCAATTAATGTACTGATAGTTTGAAAATATATAAGAAAAAGTGAAAAGTTCGAGGACTGAAAGGAGGAGGAAGCGTGTAAATTAAGCGCGGCAAGTATTTGTGTATTTGGGCCCAAAATCCATGAAAGGCAATATCATAAAACGCCTTGGGTGAGTTTGATAAACAGAAGAGCAGCAATCTATAAGCTCAAGAAAGTAGTAGAAAGACGAAGAAATGTTGAAACTAAGCTCAGTAGCTTCAAGTTCGAGACCCAATATCAGCAGTGATTCTCTGTTTCCTTTATTCTTCTTCTTCTCATCATCCAGACCCGTGAGTTCCCTAACTTCAGTCCCCCCATTAGTTGATGATAAGGAGGAAGGTTAGGTGAAAACAAACTTTGTTGTTTTCTTTGCCTATAATACTTTTGTCTGTGTGTCAAGTTTAATTAGTAATAAATTGTTAGTTAGGAGCATGGAAATTCATTAAAAAAAAAAAATTTCAGTTTTTATATCTTGGGCTCGCCTTCTAATCTGTAATTATAATCATATACATACTTATTTGAAAGAATATGATGAATTGAAGAACATGTATGCTGTCGCCTATGTTTCTCAGACCTTCTTTAATGCATGGCAGGGAATGGCCCTCCTGGATTTTCATATGGTCTTAATTGGGCTCTAGCTAGAAAAGGCGTAATTGTGAAGGATAAAGCTTTTGCAAACTTAACTTCTTCTGAGCTACAACAGAAAGGTGCAATCGCTGCAGGTGGTGAACTTCATCATATACTGATACTATTTCCAATGATGTTTCTTTATATTCACTGTCATCTTATTGTTTTCTTTCTTTTTTCATATGTTTTTGTTTCCTTTTAGAATCTTTGTCGGGAGTTCCCGTTCATATTAGGGGGAGTGTTATTGGGAGAGCTTCTGAAATTTCCAAGCCACAATTTAGTAAACTTCTCAAACAGGCATGTCTTAGTTTGTGTTTTAATGATTTGATTTTCTTGCATTGTATGGACCATACTCTATATCAATTTCAATCTTGAAAGCTTATATGAGATTTGAGGCTTAGTCTTTCCCACTCTGGGATGGTGTTATAGTTTACAAGGTGCAGGTGAATTTATAGATAGAATCAGAAACTGCAATTTACTGGGACTTGTTACTTTTTGCCTTTGATCTTTGATGTTTGGGTTCAGATTAGAAGTAATATGTCCGGTTCACTAGGTTGCATTGCAACTGTGGTATTTTGGTTACTTAGTCAAGTCCAGAATTTTAATTAAATTTTTGTCAGTCTTGATTTTACTTTCTATCAATTCCCAGCCAGTCTTTTTCTAATTATTTTCAAATGTCCGTGGTCTTGTTGACCCTTGACAGGAAACTGTATTATAACTTTGGACATTTGGAAGTTGAAACATGAGATAGCTGCAAGACTATATATACTTTCAAAGTTGGAACCAGGAAGTTCCTGGTGTCCATCAAACCCAATTTTACCAAGCGTTAACCCCAACAGACAAGAACTGCAAGTTAATCCAAATCTCTCCTACATCAATTTATTCTGTCCTCTCAATCTTTGGTTAATAGAAGAATTTTGCTTGTGACTAGCCTGGATCAAATAATTTTTCTGGAAGATATTATTTATTGATGCTTTTAGCTGTCCTTTGGTATGCAGTGATGTAACATGTCAGAAATGTAATAGATAGCTTTTTGCTTCTTTTTTTTTAATACATTTTTTTATGCTTGCTTGTTTGCTAAACCTAACCTTTTATTTTCTTCTTTTCCTCCTATTAGGTCACAACTCACATATCTTCCATCTCAAACATTTACTTTCATGATGGGGCAATTGGTTCATCGTCAAACTGTAATGCAAACGTCCGTGTAATAAGTGACAGTCCTTCTGCCATATTACATCTCTCCAAAGTTCTTTGGAAGACATCTGCTCGTGCTGTTTCTCATGACTCTTGTCCTTTGACAGTTTATGTTGCTTCCTCTATAAGGTAATATCAAATCTCATGCATTCATCAGTTCATTGCCTCTAGGATCTTGGATTAAATAAGCTGAAGTTGCTTATCCTAAGGTTGCTTTTGTTGTCAACATATAAATACCGCTCTTAGTCTTCCTTAGGTTATCCATGGTCATCCACTAAATGCTAAGAGCTGGTTTGGGTTCAGCAGTTGCTATGTCCAAATCTTAGCTACAAGACCAAAGATTATGTGGCATCTTAAATTGGTAAGGTGGACAATAATATAGGACTGACGCATCCCCTTCTTTTTGATAAAATCTTTTATCTAAAAATAATGGGACTAAGGAATAACAACTTCGCTTGCTTTTATTTCCCATTTGTTGGGAATTTGGAGCTGAGTATTCTCTTCTTTTATCAGCAGCTAGCATAACATTTATGGAGAGATAGTATACCAGGATAATGTGGACAGTCTACAATACGAACCAACTAGGGGCACAATGATATGCATGCTCCCAAAACTGTTCATTTATTTCCTCATGGAATCTTCTTGATTGGTGAACTTATGAAATAATCCAGTTAACAGAATTAGGATATTGTTTTTGTCTCTAATCTTTCCTGATGTTCTTTGATAGAAGTTCATTTTGGTGAAAACTGATGCTTTTTTTATGAATTCTATATTTAAGAATTACTTTCTGGTCATGCAGTCAAGGTATTGTGGATGCTATTGGTCTTAGAGCTCAAGGAAACAGTGGACTTATAGCTGCTGATATTGAGCGTTCTTCACTTATTTTATGTGGTAAAGCATCTGCTGATACCAATGGAACAAAAGAAGCACTAGCTGCCTTGTCTGGACCTATCATAGGTGCTAGAGGAGGTCTTCCTTTATTGGCAAGGTAAAATTCTACTCTCTGATTTTGTCAGATAATGCAATTAACTGCAATGTCTAATCTATGAGTCACATCTGAAGGTTGTGAATTTCAGGCTTCTGGTTTCTGGTGACTCTTTGATTGTTATATTTGCTCCTGAAGATACTATTCGGAGCTGTGCTGGTAAACTGGTATCTGCAGATGCTGGTGTAATTCTTTCTTCTCAAGGTGTTGCGCCATATTTTCAGACGTGGAATTTTGGTGATCCAGGTCCTTCCAAATTCCCATCCGCTGTTGTATTTGCAACTTCTGACAGGTAGTCCAACCACTTGTTTTCAGTTACTTCTAACTGTTATTGGCTTAAGGATATGGTTTTCTTGTTTGGCCTTGAGCCTGAAATATTCCTCAGACCATAGAAATGCAATTATAACATTTGATCAAGCAGTGGCGAAACCAGGATTTTTGGGTTTGCGGGGCAGATGAATATTTTGAGATGAAAAATTTATTAACATACATGAAGTAAATAGTTGGAAATTGCATATTAAGGTCTAGTAGGTAACTTTTTAAGGTTATTTTGTTTAAAATTTCAAAACTTTCTTGCCAAACCCAATAAAATTAAGGGACTTTGTTGAACACCGGCCCTCCCTTAGCTCCACTGATGTGATCAAGTTCATAAGGATGTGATTCTGGGCGAAAAAGGTGAATATGGATTTTTATACCTGTACTATTTAGCTGTTGTGTGTGTTTGGATATTAATGGGCATAAAAACAGCCCAGTTCCTCATGTTTCTGAGGAAGTTTTCCTTTCCATGAGAAGAGTTTTGGGAAAATGATTGTGCAAGTTGTTCGTCATAAGAATGCTTGTTTGTGAATCATGGGCTATGGTGGTATTTGACCTGTTAGAAGCACCAGCAGCAAAGTCTTCAATGATGGTGGAAGTTGAACCATGGAAATAATAAATTAGCAACCATATCTGGCAATTAAAACGTTATGAATTTAGGACGTTCTCAGATTTAGGGTTAATGCCTTCAAGATTCTTTCTTTTAGATACCTCGTACAAACAGACAGTCCAACAGAGAAAATTAATCTTTTCTTTTAAGTAATCAATCTTAAATGGGCCTTAATCCACCTACTTTTGGAGCTGTAGCTATTTGGCTATGAGTTGATGATGGCAATCATGTCATTAGTTGACAATGAGTAGAAAAAGTGCAGCTCTTCCCTAAATTCAGCGCAATCACCTAGAGACTGTACAGGCACTGTTTTAATATGGCCCCAGTGATAGTAAAGATTAGTCCAAAGGAGATTTTTATTTGTTGCTTTCTTTCATAATGCTTCAGTTTGCATTTACATTCTGAGCCATTTTTATTGTTCTTATATATCTATCCATCTATCCTTTCTTGTTGATGGAGCAGTTCCAGGACCATTCCTTCTATATCCAAGCTATCTCCTTGCCAAGCAGCTTATCACTTCTTGGCCGGGTATCAAAATGGAAAGTTTGTACCTGCGTACAGCAACAGTCCTTCTTCCATTGACCCATTAGAACTTGCAAAAGCTCTTTCATCCAAGGTAAAGAATGAAAGCCTTCTTCATCATATAACGTCTGCAGATATTGTCCTATTCTGTTAACAACTATTCTAATTCAGATATGTAAATCGATTCATCTATTCATGTGTAACTGCAGTTGAAAGACAACCAAATCTCATCCTTTCTGGTTAATGTCAAGGAAGGAGAAAAGAGTCTTACAGGTAAGGGCAAAATGGATGACTTGAAATATTTCTTAAGTAGGGGTCATCTTTCAGGTGAATTATTTGCTAATGAGAGAGTGCAATGGATATTGTTCATGGCTCTTAAGTTTATGCACTCATTTTTGCTTCATAAAAAAATATTTTTTCTTGTGAATAAAGTATGTTTGATTCCTCTGGGTTGTTGAAAAAATTGGATGATAGGAGAGAACTCAGTGTTGCTTGCAATCTGCTTTCTTCATCCTTTTGACTGGGAAAGGATGCCAGGCGAGGATATGTCAGTGTAGAATGATGCTTCAAAGTATTAAAATTCAATGTTTTTGTTTTCTCTAAACCTATTAAAAAACTCCAACCCTTGTCCAAAAGAAAAATAGTCATCTCCTCTCTCCAAGAGCTTGCATATTGGATATAATCTGGTATCATAACCTACACCACAACTTTCGTCCCTGAAGAAGTTGCAAAGACACCAAGTCCAATCAGATGATGACTTATGTCTGCTTCTTTGGATCAAAATAATATCATATAATTGCTAATACTCCGAACATATCTGAGCCCAATGTAGCTTGAGCCTTGAAGTTCTGACCAGTTAGTCTTACAGCTTTAGTTATTAATCTCATATGATTTGTTGGTTGATATTCCAGGACATCATTTTCTGACGTTGGTTCAATCATCTCTATCAGGGAACGTAGCGCCATTTCAACCTAAAGGTAGCTCCATACATGTGTAACATGAGTCTCTGTCAAGAGTTAACCTAATATGTTGTTTAATGTATCAAATCTTTTCAGGTGGAGATCTTGAAGAAAAGTACCAAAGCTTTTTGTCCACTAAATTTCAGGAAATACCGGAGGAATTCTTGTTCTGAGTTAAATATCCCTTTGTCTTGTAACTTTTTGTGTCCAAAACTAGAGAAGCTACTACATTTTCTTGAATCTAATATGTATCATTTTTGCTTCTTCACGTAGTGTCTCGTGTGTGGAGTAACAAGCAGTCAACATAAAATCTTATTTGCAGATCTCCTGATGCCTACCAATAGGACTCTAAAACAAACCAAACCACTCGAGTTTAAGTTCGATTTGAGATCGACTTGATAAAACAATCGTTCGAGCTTGATCATTAGGTAAACAAAGCAGGTTTGATTATAATTTTAAAGCTTGATTATTTCCTTTTGCCTGCGAACCTTCTCGGGCGAGAGGCAGGAACATTTCTTTCCCCCTGATAGAGCAAGCCAGGTATGAAATTACTCTTATTATAAGGAGAAGATTTTCATGAACAAGAATGAACAATTTACTACTAGAACCATTTACTACAAGGCTCGAAATGTTTACGAAAAAAAAAAAAAGGATTTTTTCAAAAGAAAATATTATTTAAAAACAATATATTATTATATAGTGAGTGCAAAGTAACTATAAAATTCACACAAGGGGTAGAAATAAATGATTTTAACATTCAAACTAGGTCAATGTATAGTTTAGAGATATAAGAATTAATTTTAAAATGAAATATATTAAAAATATTCAGATTCGTTTTTTTTTTTTTTTTTTTTTTGGGAACGACTTCGAGTTCGATGGATAATTAACAGCCAAACTTGAAAACTGGTTTGGAGCTTGATATGGTTAGCTCTTGATTCAATTTACATTGACAAATTTCGAACATCATTTGACTTAATTTCAAGATTTTTGTACCGTTGGGTTTTTGATATTATATTAAATTTCATAATTGAATTTCAATTTTATCTCAAAAAAAAAACTTAAATTTTGTAATAAATAATTATTTTTAAACTTTATATATTGCTTATTAATTATTTATTTGTTCGATTTATTTGACATAGAATAAGTTTTTTAACAAGTACAAATTAATCTATGCTTGCTGGTTGCTGGTGTAAAAGTTTTGGATAAAAAACTTTTATTTTTAAGTGCAAGCTGTGATCTCACAGACTTCAGTGGCCAGCCGATGACAAGTTGTCAGGTCTCATGGACTGGCTCTGGTCAAGTCTTTTGGTACTCCTCCTGTTTCCAACCTACCCCTAATTGCCCTCTTGAATGTAATCATGTCCCTGTCCCTGTCCCTTGCACATTGCAACTGCATGCTAACTCGCTTGACTTCTTTTCTATTGAGTATATATTTATTGTATGGCTAAACGGGTAATTTTTTTTTTATTTTTTATTTTTTAAAAAAAAATTTAGTCCATTTTTAAGTTGTTTATATATAAAAAAAAAAGATCACATAAAATATAACTACATGATGAAAATCATTTAATAAAATTTACATAAGACTCTCCAAAAAAAATTGAGGTTATTTCAAGTTATTTTATTATTTTATATTTTTAATATTTATTAAATAAAAAAATGTACTTTTTTATTTTAAAAAAATTAAGATTTTTTTTTCAAAAAATAGATTGAAATTTTTTTCGACATGTGCGCAAGATGTCAACATTTAGAATGGAGGATAATACTTGAAAATCATAAAATAAATTAAATCTCTAAAAGAATAAAACTCAGTAAATGTCAAATCTAAAATTAAAAGTTCAAACGAGAGGTTTGATTCTAGAAGATAAGAAAACAGAAGAACCTGGGCTAATGGAGTGAAATCCCAGATGCAATGCATTGAGAAAGAAAATTTAAAATAAAGAAAAATAGTTGACTTCTACAACATTAAAAAGTATTTCCACTTTAGAGTACATGATGATGATGCTATTGACTCCTCCATTCATCACCAAAGAACGAAGGCAACCTTGCCAGTTACAATAACTTTGTAATAAATATAATATATATGTTCTGTCATTTGCTGTCACTCTCTCTCTCTCTCTCTCTTTCTTCATAAATATATAACTGAGCAAAGAGGAGAAGAAAACAAGAGAGATACATCCAAGCATGCAACTTAAAATTCTTTTTTGCTACCAAACTCAATATACAATGAACCCCACCAAAATTTAATGCCATTTTTTTCCTGATGGAAATCCTTTTAGGCCCTTTCCGAACTTCTGTTTCTTTCTTCTTTTTTTTATTCTTTTCTCTGTTACTTGGAGTACCTACCACCTTCCCAACTGTCTACAGCCAGCCACACTCCTTTAATGCTGCTCCTCCTTTTCTTTTTTAAATACGTAGCTCGTCTCTTCTTCATTGTACCAACCAACTTGCTCATTTCTTCTTTTTTCTCTGAAAAATATGGCACCTGCAGCTGCTTCTTTCAATGAAACTTCGAAGACGGTTTGTGTAATGGATGCTTCTGGGCGCTTAGGCTCCTCTCTTGTGCACAGGCTGTTGCACAGAGGTTACACTGTCCATGCTGCTTTCCAAAACCATGGTTTGTTTGTCTTCCTGCTCTCCTTTCCTTTTACTTAAAATCTTATTAATTATAAATAATTCTTCATATCTTGCTTGGTATGCCTCCTAATTATTTACTTCTACTTAGATCAATTTTTCCTCCTCTACAATCGAGCTATTTGTTTCTTCATTTTTTTTTTTTAATGAATGTAGAGTTGGATTATTCAGTTTTTATTTTATTTTTTATGTTTTTACCAATGTTTGATTCATACCCTGATGGAATCATGTTTTCCTCCTATAATTATACAAAAAAACGATTTTTCTCTTTCAACTAGCATAGAATATTTGCCGGGACGACATTACTGGTGAAGAAAACAATATCAGTTACCCTGAAAAGAAATGAACATTCTTCTCCTCACCATAAAAAAAAAAACCATTTTAACTCAAAAATTTAAAATATTAAGTAAAATCTCATGAATGATTTGAAATTTACATAAGTCCACTACTACAGTTAAAAAAAAAAAAAAAAAAAAAAACTCATTTCAACCCAAAAACTTAATGTATCGGTGACGTTCCAAGAATGGTTAATTAAATACCTTGCAAGCGATCAGTTCATTACTTAGTACTCAATCAAATAAATTGCTCGTGGCTTGTATGTAGATTTTTTTTTGCTAGTTTTGACATATTATTATTGTTATGCTTAATTATGGAATTTGTCTCTCACATTGTTTATTGTACAATTGGATTTGCAGGTAAATTATTGCAATCATTTGAAGGACTATCCTGCAATAACAAGAAATTGAAAGTTTTCCATTCCGACCCTTTTGATTACCACAGCATAATGGATGCCTTGAAGGGATGTTGTGGCTTGTTTTATTCCTTTGAGCCCCCCTCGGATCAACCCACCTATGATGTATGTCAACTCTTAATTCTTCTTTTCGATTATTATTTTGTTGCTCCAAAATGAGCTGGTCACAGCCTACATATATAGATTGAGATGATCAAGAAATCATCTTTTTTTATGACTCTTAAATTTCTTGATATTTATATCTATATGTATGCACTCACATGCATGGATGGGACATCTTCTCCCATCAATTATAGTCTTTGGCTAGGTAGGATAATAATGCATAAGCACTCATTAGTTTGCTAGGCTGTTTGAAAACACTCACAACCAGTATGGCAAAAGTAAATAATATTTATGTTTCATAAGGCAAGCATTTCATTATTTATAGATAGGATTTCAATGGTAGGTAATTACATTTAAACTGACACGTAAGTACTAATTAAGACCTACCTAATTAATTTGGTGACAAAGATACTTGGTTATTGACTTCTCAATGCATAGTTATGGTGTGTATATCCATCTGGGCCAAACTATTTGTATTAGCCTTCAGCGGCTATGGCAAGTTCATATTTCTCATGCTTACAGAGAAGCCAACCGTACTGCGAATTGACTTGCATCTCATATCTATTCACTTTTTCTGGGAATTGCTTATCATTTGAATATTTCCCTTAGTTGCCTTAATCTCTTATTAGAGGACATCTGAAGAGTTGCATATAAAGTCTAGTTGTTTGGTGCAGGAATTCATGGCAGATGTAGAGGTGAGAGCAGCACACAACGTATTGGAAGCATGTGCACAAGCAAACACTATAGACAAAGTTGTCTTCACATCCTCTGCAACAACTGTTATATGGAGTGACGGACGCAGCAAGGCACCTGATCTTGATGAGAGAAATTGGAGTGACATAAATTTCTGCAGAAAGTTTAAGGTATTCAAAATCGTTTAAATTCTAAAATTTTGACCAAGCCAGCATTTCGAAACATATATAACTAGAAACGTGGACCATCTCTTTGAGATAAGAGTGAATAGCTGTATCGAATCAGATATGTTGACTCGCTTTAAACCTATACTAGTAGATAAATTTAGATTAACAAGGTCTACGCTTTTAGCAGTTATGGCATGCACTGTCAAAGACACTGGCTGAGAAGACAGCATGGGCCCTAGCAATGGACAGAAGCATCAACATGGTGACAGTAAATGGAGGGCTCTTGATGAGTCCTGATCTGACAATAGCAAACCCTTATTTAAAAGGAGCAGCTGAGATGTATGAAGATGGAGCATTTGTTACTGTGGACCTCAGGTTCATAGTGGACGCACATATCCATGTATTTGAAGACATTACATCTTATGGAAGATATGTCTGCTTCAACCGTGTCATCAATTGCAATGAAGATGCTGTTAAGCTCAGTAATATGCTATTGCCACCCTCCGAATCTTCATTTCCTCAAAGGTTGGTTTTGACATGATGACTTGTTCTTAGCACTTTTTAATTTTGTGGCTTGAAAATCTGATCAAATAAATGCCTTGACAACACTTATGTCCGGTGTTCAGACAAACCCTGACTAGCTAGGAGTATATGGGAGGGGAAAAGAGTCAAATTTTCAGAAATTAGTAGTAGTGTCAAGTGCATGAGCTTGATGGATGTGTTCACTCTAAAAATTAACTTCTTTGAGATACTTGCTAGCCATTCTTGAAACGACTAAATTATAAATTAGTCTCTCTTGATTCGAAAAACGAATTAATTAGTCTTTTTAGTTTTAAAAATTAATCATTTAGTTTTGTATCGTCAAATTTTTACTAGATCTATCAAATTAAAATCTAATTCCATATATATATATGTATAGGGATATGATTTATTGCTTAAAGAGAGAAAACAAGAGCGGAGATTATTAAAATGAGAAATGAAAATTTGAAAAGAGAAATAGAAATTGGTTTGAGCGTTTGAGGAGAGAGAAATAGACGAGATGTGTGTAAATGAGAAAAATAATTTATAAAAAACAAAAAAGCAATTTGGAAAAAATAATATTTTAATAAAAACACCTCATTACTGTTCTAACAGAAAACTGATGAAAGACAGATGAAAGAAACTGAGTTATTTACAAAATTAAAACATAAAGAATTAAAAGATTAGTTTTTAAAATAAATAAAAAAAGACTAATTAATTTATTTTTCAAAAAAGACAGGGACTAATTTATAATTTACTCATTCTTGAACATATAAATCGGCACCTCTCTACTCTGTGTTTTGTGGTCAAGTCCGAGTGTGTGTTTGTGGGTGTTTTGCACAATTAGTATTTATTTATTCATTTGTTTGGCAGTTTGGAAGCTACAAGAATCCACCAACAAAGGATAAGCAATAAGAAGCTAAACAAGCTAATGGTGGATTTTGACAGTAAACTTCGAGTTGACTGACTGCAGCACAGTTGGGCAAGCGAATATCAATTTCATCTGCTCTCAATTTATTTTTTTATTTTTTTCTTAGATAGGGGATGTCATGTTCTTTAGTGTTAGGTTAAAAATGAGATATATTTCGTGCAGAGGTTTTTGTTTCTGGCAGGAAATTAAATACTGATATTTTGCAGTTTGATTTTATGATCTCGAAAATTCTTAAGGCCTGTCCAAGTTTCCTTTAATTATTATGTTATCAAGGAGATCAACATGATGAAACTACGATCAACTCAAAACTTTTCCATGCTATTAGTAATCCAGTCTCCCTCCTTCCTTGTTCACACGTCTTCTTGGTTATATTGAGATCAAAGTCTTAAGATCTTTTTGAAAATACTTGAAACAATGCATTCATTTTATTCACTACTTAACAGGCACGCAAGGACATAGTTCAAGAATATATTTTACTGATAGAAAAATATTTTCCCATCCTTAATGAAATTAAAATATTTTCTTCTAAATTAGCACTATTCAAAAGTTGACCGTAAGATATTTTCCGTTGAGTTAATTTCCAGTGTTTATTTTGCATGATAAATAAAGGAAAGTATTTTCCTATCACCAAAACAAACAACTCTTTAACCGATAAATTTCTTACCTATCTCGAACAGAGAGAGAGATAGAGAGAGAGAGCATAACCTTTTTTTTCACCGTAAAACAGTAGGAACATTCAATCTTTGTTTACACCCGACCAAGTTAAAGTTCAATACAAGTTCTGAAATGAAGCTTCTTCTGCAAGGTTCTCATTATGCCTCAGGCAAACACAAGGAAAATTTACTGTCATTCAACTTTGGTCGCCCTGGATGTGAAGCTATTGTGAAGAAACAGGATAGTGTATTTCTCATCATGCAACTCATTTGCGAAAGTAAAACAGAGCACAGGGAAACACTACTCGTAACGCTCAAAACGAACCCTTTCATTCCAAATATTCCGAATTAAAGTACGTATCACTCAAGGACATCTCAGGCCTCGAACTTAAGTAAACATATACACTATTTTCAAATTCCTATTGGTTTGAATATTATACTCTGTTATTATACTAACACTATCCCTGCGAAAAAGAGAGAGTCATGTGAATTTAATTTACTAACTCATCCATGGATTCACATCATATAATGTAGGATTCATTCACTTTTTATACATGCTATATAACTATGGATGAGATGGTGGATTAAGTATACCGAACAATTTTCTTTAACTTACAAAGCACAATGAAGCAGTAAAAAAAATGAGAAAATGTAAATCATAGCAACACATAACTTGTATTCAGCATAAGCATCTTTAGGCACTTAGTGACATGGAGATAATTGAAGAAAGCTTGAATTTGCGGACTTTAGCAGAGTTGTCTGGCTGAAACAGAACCTCTGTACTTGATCTTACAGTTTCTTCCTTCCACTCAGAAGCTGAAGCCCCATCACTCCTATAATCACGAGCAGAGTACAAAACTTGGAGCTTTGAATGGGCTGCAGTTGGTCATTGAATTTTGAACAGAGAAGTAAAAATGAGAGAACAAGCAAGACAACATAGGTTGTGGGAACATGTGTTTGTTTGATATAAAAATTAAAAATGCATTATTGAGTTTTGGTGACTTTATAATAGGGATAAGCTTTAACTATACAGAGGAAGTACGAAAAAGGGCAGTAACCTCAAGTCTCGTTTTGTTGGAATGAGTTGATATGAGATTGTTTAAGAACTGACTACTCATTGTATAGCAGCAATACTGTGGCAGAAAACTGTTTACATTCCTGTCACAGTGCTGTGCTCATCACTGTTCACACCCACCTTAGCTTCCCATTTTACCATAGTGGATCAATCTATTTAGGTTATTGATAGGTTCCAATTTGAATTTTAAAGAGTATTCAGATGGTAACTAACAGTTTGTTGTATTAAATTCTCGGTGAAAATTTCTAAAGATTTTGTTTCCCTATGGATCATATTAAAGTGCAAGGATTTCTACCAACAAGAGAGGTTAGTAGTTGCCGAAATATCTTGGTCGATTTTATACTTATATAAAAATTCAGATCTGATTAAAACCTTGAGGCCCTAAATATTGACACCCTAGCTCTAATCTAGATAAACTTGAGGTTCTTCTCTTTTCTATCCTGCATTACCTTCTTTCTCAGTTACTACATACTCCACATTTCATATTAACACACGTTTCAAAGGATAGAGAAAGAGCAACACACTTCTTAGGTAAATCATATACCATACTGCAAGAAATTTTAAACAGAATTTCATGTGGAAGAAAAGGTGACTCACAACAAGTGTATCCTATTATATTAAAGGCAAGCTTCTTTGTCCAACATCTTCAACCTTCTTAACCTCCCTCTCATCTATCTCATCATACAACTATATCAAATCCATCTGTACTGCACCTAACCTAAGTCTCACCATCACCACAACCCCAACCTTCTACATTTGAGGAAAGTTACACTGACATGCAATCATCATTTACTCCAGCTTCATTCTTTTCACTTTACACAGCTCCCAAATCTGAAGTTACTATGAAGCCAGGTCACAAAAAATTCGCACAATTCTATCCAATTGGTTTACTAACGCAAATATTAAGAAACTCTATAACAGGGGTTTCAGGATAAAGTTAAGAACCTTTAGAAAATCCTCATATTTACAGGTATGCTCAAAGCTGGACAATATGCTAAAGTTAAGAACATTTAGAAAATCTTCTTATCTACAGGCATGCTCAAATCTGGACAATATGCTATTTTGTTGATATCACAAAAGTAGCCATTCATTAGATGTTAGGTTTGAGGATAATCCAGGATTTGCTAATCAATTGCACAAGGGCCTAGAAAATTAAAGAAAAGTTTACCTCTTAAAACCCCAATTTCTGTCACACAAGTCATAATGCAATATCTCAGGTTCATTTTTGAAAAAAACATTCATTTAACAAACAATATTGATACCATAAAAAGCAAAGTAGACGAAATGGTAGTGTGATTACCTAATCCAAACATACTTGTCTTTTGAATGATCAAACGACTAACTTTCGATCGTTTGATGTTTCTCAAAGCCATGGTATCTTCTTGTTTTCCTTTAAATTCCAAAAATTCTCCTAGGACAAATTTATTACCCTTAAGCTCCAGCCTGCAAAGAATTGAAAATAGTTGTTTTGTGTCAAGTGTAAATCACAGCTTCGCATAACTGACATTGAGAAGAGTAATAAGGAAACCAAAATCAAACAAATGACAATTGAAGTAAGTCTATGGCTTCGACTTGGATGAATGGGAAGGGACAGGTAGAGTGACTGTAGAATACCAGCATTACAAACAGACAACAATGACACTCAGAATTGCCTCCTCCTTTTTGCACACAATACAAACAATCAGCTCCATCATTACAATGTTCGTAGCTCAACCATACATTCAACAGACCTATGAAATCATAGGATGTGGAATCTAGCAATTTGTGAGCCATTAGGACATTTAGAATGATTAAACCATGGTTTACTACTGAAGACCACCTCTCTTTGTACTTTTTTAGTTCCCTAGACCCTACTCGACAATCTTGGCCGGGAAAACATCAAAGAACTAATAACACATATAATTAAATATTCACAGCCTACAATCCTCTTTCCTTCTTTTCTTTCATAAGGACCTAATATGTTTAAGGATGTTAATCCAAGCTGTTGGAAAGTTAATCACCTTTTGACCAAATACACACAATGCAGAAAAAAATGCAATCATAACCAGAAAGCATGAATATAAAAATCATAGGCACGGAGCAGCAAACCTGTCCCACATAGGAGCTGTGCCAAGCGTGAAGTTGAGTTTCTGATGTATAGATTCCTGCATCTCCTTCTTTCCACCACGAAAGGCACCCTTTATCCAACCAGAAAATAGGCCTTTTGGTTCAGGTTTCAGCTGTACCCATTGATCGTAGGTAATGACCTCGGAGGGAAAATAGCCTGAATGGATTGGACTGCAAAGATAAGAGATGTTCCAGTTACAAGAAAACACAACAAAACTTAATAACAGCTTGATAATCATATCCAAATAGTCAAGAAAAGGAGGAGGACGACAGAAACAAAAATGTTACTTTTAACTCGTGCATTCTTGGTTTATAAACTCTTCCAGTCCACTTAAACATAAAAATAAGATTAATCTAGAAATTTATTACTGCAGTTTCTTTATTTAAGAAGACTTGGCAAATATGGATAATATTTGAAGCATAACCAAATAAAGCAAAATACACATACGATTTCATCTGTCTTACTCTTTATCCTTAAATTTAATAAAAGTGAATAAATAAATAATTTAATACACTGGAGAAATATTAACCCAAGACACATTACATGTAAATTAAGCTTGAAGTTAATGGTGTAGTTAATCCATAAGAATATCTATCCATAAATGACACAAAGCACACATACAAACTCAAAGGAACCAAATCCAGGACAGAAGAGTGTGTGTGTGTACTTCAATCAGTTAGTTTTTCAATTTGAGTTTACTAACATAAGAATTTGTATCCATAAATGACACAAAGCACATGTACAAAATCAAAGGAACCGAATCCAGGACAGAAGAGAGAGAGAGTGTGTGTGTGTGTGCGCGCGCATACTTCAATCAGTTAGTTTTTCAATTTGAGTTTACTAAACTACACAGCTATAGTACAAATGTTTTGAAAACCTACTGCAACTTAGGATTGGGAAGTACAACTTTGTAAGACAAATATCCTTCTGGTAGAGCAACTCCCCTTTGTTCAAGATATGATTCAAGTATTGAAACTTGCTTTTTAGTCTCCGCCACCTGATAAAATAGAGATTGATAAAACAGATTTAGATCAAACAGTGGCCCTAAACAACCTTATGTTTTTGCACTGGAGTCAAAAATCCATATTTTGTTATAATACAACAAAAGGATCTAGAAAGACATATACGATATATAATTTTGGAGCAATAACAGTATACATATATTAGCTTGCCAAGCACTATAGAAAAGGAACATGAAACCGTAAGCATAGAAATAAATACATGACAATGATTAAAGATGTTGAATCAGCTGGTGGCATTATTAGTTCATAGAAAAAGCTTGGACGATAACTTATTCTCCATAATGTATGTATTCTTCTTCTATTCTTAAATAAAATTTCTTGTTCACTTTTTGTCAGAAAACAAAAACAACAATGGAAGACACCTAGGCAATAATAGTTCGTTTCTGATTCAAACGCTTATAGTCACAGGTGCTTCCAAGAGAATCTAGTTCTGTCAATTGGACTCCATAATTAAGGGAGAAAAATGGAAGGCAAACTCAGGTGATTCATTTTGTATCCATTTTTTGGTTCAATGGTTAGATTTTCAAAAGAAGCATCAATCCCCTTCTTAACCACTCCCACCCCAAATATCAACAAGGGTCAATGTTGGGCCTCTTGGGACAATGGCTTTGCTACGTTTCCCAACTACTCCTCCCATTCCGTCCTAGGTCTCTTCCACAGTGCCAAAAAAACACTTTTAACAAAATCAAACCCAACAAACAGCAGCATGAAAGCTATTATAATAAGATAACAGCGTAATTAATTGTCCAAGAAAGAAAGAAAAACTTACAGGATCAGGATGACGATCTGGTTTGTGTCTACCTTCACCTTCAAAAACCCAGCTGCCATCGCCACTGATTGATACAAAACCCGAGAAATTCTTGACAGAAATCACCACTGCCTCACTGTCAAATGAAATGAATCATTCTTTATATTTTATTTTATTATTTTTATATAAAAAAAAATTAGTTTAGTTTACCCTTTGGTGACGAGAACTGCATCTATGTTTTGTCTTGAACCAGTGTCAGCATCTGGAATTCGTAGCCCTACATACACCTTTCCTCCATATAGCTTTTCAAGCCTTTAAAATAAATAAATAAATAACCCAATTAGCTGTTGATGATGATGATGATGATGATTAATGTTGAAAAAAAAATCTCAAAATTACTGTATATGTAGGAAGGTAGACGAGTTAGTAGTTACAGGTACGTACTTGTTAGCAACGTTGAAAAGAGCATTGGTGTCAGAGGATTGGACCTCTAAAACGTCGTCGGCGTCGGAGAAGAAGCACTTGAACAACTTGTACACAATCAGGCCGCAGAGGATCTCTACCCACATGATTCTATGACGATCAACCAAGGAAATAACTTTCTTTTCTTGTGGGGAGAAAAAGGAAGGTTTTATGTTTGGGAAGAAATTTGGTTGGGTTTTTTTGGTCATTTCGATTGGTGAGTATGGCTCATGATGAGTCATGTCATCTTATCATTTGAAGTAAATTATAAATTAGTCCTCTTGTTTCGAAAAATAAATTAATTAGTTTTTAAAAAATTAATTAAATAATTTTTTATTTTTTATTCTATTAATAATTTAGTTTTCTCAATCTTTCATTATATTAGTAATTTTTCAAAATTATTCTTCCTTTGATGCTTTATTTCTCTCATTTATCATTTTTCTTTTTCGTTCTTCAACAAAATATAACGAAAAATTGATTAAAAAAACCAAATCATTGATGGAATTAAAATGTGAAGGATAAAATAATTAATTTAAAAATAGACTAATTAATTTGTTTTTTCTAATAAGAGGGACTACCTTACAATTTACTATGTCATATGTGATGCCAAACCGCATGGACTCTTTCTAACCAAGTTAGAATGGAAGAGAAGCGACTTGAGCATAGGGATAAGCAAACGGTTCGGTTAATCGAAAATCGAATAAAATCGAACCGAATTATGAAATTTGGTTCGGTTTTAAATATAAAATTATACAATATAAAACCGAATCGAAAAAACCGAAATTATTTCGGTTCGGTTCGGTTTTTAGAAAAAAATTTCGGTTTCGATCGAAAACCGAAATAAATAGTAAAAAATTTTCTAATTTCTAAATTCCTAACTTTTCAATATTCGTTCTTGTTGAAACCGAAAGATGCGGATGGGAAGTAAATTTTGAGGACCGTTGGGGTAAAAAAAAAAAGTGACATAGTGTAATTAATTGGGATACAGCGTGTTTGAATAAGCAAATTTATTACACTTGGACTCGTTTTCATTAAAGCTTAATTAAAATCTTCAAGGGCTTTATGATTGTTTATAAAAAGGATTAATTGATAACAAGATGTTACTTCATTGGCTAGTGGACTAAGTGCTAGTACAAAATATCTCTCTCGTAATGATTTTTTTTTATAACAAAATATTTTGGTTAAAACCGAAATATTTTGAAACCAAACCGAAATAATTCGGTTACAAACCGAATTTATCGAATTTATTTCGATTCGGTTTTGGTTTTTATTTTTTTTAATTCGGTTAACCAAAAATCGAACCGAATCGTACAAAACCGAACCGTTTAACCGAATGCTCACCCCTACTCGAGCGCTAAGCAAATATGATCGAGGGATCGTTCAAGAGTGACTACGTTGTGTCGGGGTGATTCATGCCTTTAAATGCCTTTACACCTATTTGAACGACGCGTAGCAAAATCAATTTCAAGGGTCCGGATGGATTGCATGATCATGTGCTCTATTGCATGCCTTTTTGTCCTTAATTTAGCGATGGCAATTGATCACATAGCCGATCTATTAATTTAATTTTTTATTTTATTTATGAAAAAATATCTTACTCATTTTAAAAAATTATCATGTAAATTTTTATACGATCCATATATGGCTTATATTAGTTTATTCGATTCATTTAGTATTCATTTAATATTCATTAAAATTAATTTGTCAAAAATATTTATATTTAGTCCCTATGATTTTCAAAAAGAAATTGATTCTAAAAATTAATTGCACTTTGGTCATTTATTTATAAGTTATTTTGATCCTAAAATTTTTTTAAAAATAATATTTTAGTTCTTAATTTTTAAATTTTATGCAATTAGATTTCTACGTGTTAATAAAGAATCAAAATAAATTAATGAGTATTAATAAAGTAAAGAATGAGTACTCATACCACGAAACTATATTAGTAGATATGTATTTTTTTATTTTTATCCACTCCTATACTCATTTGATATTCTTAATGGGTATTTATTAAGGCGGGTAAAACCGATATCCGTTTTATATCCGACTCAATGTCATTCCTATCTTAACAAAAAAAAAAAAATTACACCGACGAACCACTTTTATCAATTATGAACAAAGTAAATCGGACCATTACGTCGGTTAAAAACACAATGAAAAGACCATGTCATAATAAATTTATAGACATTAAAATTGTATAATTTTATAGCTAAAATTAAGAGATCTCGTTAATTTGAAGATTTTAGATCTAAAAAGTATAAAATTGAATTTTAGTCCAAAATAGTTGTTTATGAATGGTTTTTGAAATTTGATTGGAGTTCGGGAGGTTTGGAGAGTGTGTGGATGTCTTTCTCCATTGAAAAAAACACGAAAAAATATTATTTGTTTGAAATCAAAAAAACATTTCTATGTTCAACCCAAACAAAAAACAATTTAATCCCTTACAACTCGTGTTGGATAGGGTAGAAAGTGAATGAGAGGAAAGAAAAGTGTCACCCGCTTGTTTTGCGAAGAAACTCGTGGAATGAAAAAATAATAATAAACAAAGTTACGACTAGTGGGACCCGTTTTGGGAGGAAAGTAGCGAGAAAAGTACTTGCAAAACATCAAGAATATGAATATTCTCATTTTTGCCCTCATCTACCTCATACGTCCCTCTTCATTTCTCTATTGTCCTTCTCTCTCTGCAAGTACACCAATCTACACATCCAAGAGGATGTGACGATATTTCTAGTTATAAATCGGCCATTTTAAAGGAACCCTTCAATCATTTGGCAAGGCAAGTTAGGTTTACGTGTTAAATGGACTGTTCGTTTCTTTTTCATAGAAGATTTTCTTGATTGCGGCCATAGTTTTTGTGTTTCTTTTTAATTTTTTGATGATAAAAGCAAATGCGAGCCTCATGGAAAGCAGATCTAATCGCTGTTATGACAACCCAAAAAAAAAAAAAAACCAAACAAATCAACGTAATCTGTCTCTCTCTCTCAAAATAAATTAGTGGATATCAATGGGATAAAAAATGGATACTCATACACCGAAACCATATTAGCAGATATGTATTTTTCATCGTTATCCATTTCAATACCCATTTGACATTTTTAATAGATATTTATTGAATCGAATAAAACCGATATCCGTGTTATATCTAATCCATTATGATTCCTACCGTTATTACACTAACAAAAAAGAATTATGCCAACAACTATTTTTACCGATTATGAACAAAGTAAATCGACCATTACATCGGTTACAAACACAATGAAAATACCCCATCACAATAAATTTATAGACATTAAAATTGTATAATTTTATAGCCAAAATCGGGAGATATGTTAATTTGAAGATTTTAAATCTAAAAAGTATAAAATTGAATTTTAGTCCAAAATAGTTGTTTATGAATGGTTTTTGAAATTTGATTTGAGTTCGGGAGGTTTGGAGAGTGTGTAGATGTCTTTCTCCATTGAAAAAAAAAACACGAAAAACATTATTTGTAGTCCAAGTTTGTAGTTGGGCTAAAAAGGGGATCGTAGGTATATGTGTTGCTTATAACGAGGATTTGTGAGTTTCGTGTTGATATAAATCCGAGTTTATATTAAAAAACAAAGCCCACATTTCTCTTATTTTTATCTTCAACTTCTTTATTTTTAGTTTTAATAAAAGCGATTTCGGCCTATATATTTTTTATAATAAGAGTTTGTAGATCTCGTGTGATGATACATATTATCTCCGAATATATCAATAATTAAGATTTATTAAAACAATGAGTTGCATGATAGCAATTAACATGGTCATAATGAGCGTGAGAAGGCAAAGATACAATGGAAATTAATAGAGAAAACTAAAACTCCAATAAGAAGTTATAGTATCCATATTTTATGGCATGCGAGTAATCATGGAACATAAGTGCGAGCTTAAAGAGCCAAAAAGTAAGTTGTAAAGAATTATCTTGCATATATTATGTCTTACAGAAACTCTTTAAATAGAGTTTCAAAGTTACGGAGATAAAGATGACTATACACTAGAGTTCTTGTTACAATAGGTTATTGTAATGGATACAACTTCTAAAGATTATCTTGACTAAATCTAATCCTTATCATCCTCCCTCGAGTCGAGTCTGCTGGAAGCACGGTCGGCTTGGTGACTCGATGGAGATGTTGTCGTTTTGCAAGGAATTTAGTCGGGATGTCGGCTAGTTGATCTTTGGTGGAGATGTAGCGCACTTGTAAGTCCTTTTTGTGAACTTTGTCTCGAACAAAATGAAAGTCAATCTCCAAATGTTTAGAGCGAGCATGAAAGATCTGGATTGGCGATTAGGTAGGTAGCTAACAGATTATCACACCAAAGTGTGGGTGCGGTTTGTAGTGGGAAACCAATGTCACGCAAGAGGGATTGGAGCCATGTGACCTCGGAGGTCGTTGTAGCTAAGGCCTCGTACTCGCATCGGTGGAAGAGCGAGCTACTGTTCTTTGCTTTCGTGAAGTCCAAGAGATAAGATTGTTGCCAAGAAAGATTGCATAACTCGTTATGCTTTTTCGATCTATGATGTTACCCCCCCCGATCGGCATCGGTGTATGCGAGAGAAGTGATGAGAGGAGGAAGGGGTGAGGAGCGGACCATGAGTCGGTGTGCCTTTGAGATAGCGTAGGATACGCTCGAGCGACACCTATTGTTCGACGGTGGGGGCATGCATAGATTGAGCGGCACGATTGATAGCAAATGATACATCCGGCCGCGTGAGGGTCGGATACGTAGCCTACCAACAATACTCCGAAAAAGTGTGGGATTGTCAAATGCGGTAGTGTACGTGATAGGGGAACGTAAGTCGCCGGACGTGACCATGGGCGAGGCATCCTGCATATTTGCTCTTTTGAGAAGATCCCGAATATACCGAGATTGGCACGGGTGTAATCCTCCCTTGGTCCTAGTGACCTCATGCCAAGGAAATAATGCACATAGCTGAGGACTTAACGAGGAACCGATGCCGAAGTCCAAAAATGAGTTTCCTAATCAGATTGGGATTATTTCTAGTGAGTAATAGATCATCTACATAAATAAGACGAGTAGATGATGTCCGAGCCATGATTGTATATCATCGAGGATGTGTCGGCTTTGGAACCAACAAAACCCATACTACGAGTGCTGAACTCGGACTTGTATACCACATCCTAGGGGCTTGTTTAAGGCGATAAAGAGACCTTTTTAGAGCACACACAAAATGCTGGATGCCGAGGGTGAATGAATCCTTGCGGTTGTTCCATATAAACCGGAGTATCCAACTTGCCATGTAAAAAAGCATTGGAAATGTCCGGTTGCTCAATGTGCCGGTCATGGGTTACGCCAATGACAAGATGAGACGGATTGTGCTTGGTTTTACCACGGGACTCGAAGGTGTCGGCATAGTCTAGACCGGGCGTTGATGGAATCATTTGGCTACCAAACGAGCTTTGTACCGATCAATGGAGCCGTCGGGGAGTCGTTTGATCCGATACACCCATTTACAATCGATGATATTGGGAGCTTGAGAGCGAGGTACCAAGTCCCGAGTGCCATTGGTGAGAAGTGCATCAATTTCCTCATGCATAGCTTGCCTCCATTGAGGTTGGGTGTTGGCCATGGTAAAAGAGGTGGGTTCGGTAGGTGGAATTGAGCTGTGGAAGACTTTTGGCTTAGTTTTTCCTGTTTTGGTGCGAGTTATCATGGGATGAGAGGGGGTTGTGTTTGAGGTTGCGAGGTGGCTAGATCCGAAGGGAGTACGAGTTGGTTTATGAGTATGTCGTCTGTAGAGGACTTGCTTGGTGCGATGAGAGGTCGTTTGGAGGGGTTATGGGGCACTTAGTGTGTTGGTGGGTTGAGTCGGTATAAGGGGGTTGAATGCTTATCAAAGACGGGTCGGTGTTTGTAAGCTGCACATGTATCACCGATCGGTCATTGTGAACGGAGTCTGGATCTGTGGGAGTAGACTTGGACGAGATCTTGGAGTTTGATGGCGGGAGAGATTTGGGGCTCTTATTTTTGTGGGTTGGGCTAATTTGGTAGGGACTTTGGTGGGTTTTTGTGTTGAAGTGGTCGAGGTAGATGCGGGGAAGGCTGATTTGTGAGGGAATTTGAAGGGAAATATTTGTGGGGGTTGGTGGAGCTGGAAGCAATATTGGGAGAGTGGATGTGGAGGTTGAGTTTTTGATAGTGGAGTGAGCACCTTTATCGGCATCCTTGAATGGAAAGACCTGTTCATCGAAGACAACATGGCGTGAGATATAAATTTTATTGGATCTAATGTCTAAGCACTTATACCCTTTATGCAAGTTGCTTATAGCCAAGGAAGACACAACGAACCGAACGAGGTTCTAATTTATTTTTGGCATATGGGCGTAGCCAAGGATAGCAAAGACAACCAAAAACACGCGGATAGTCATAATCCGGAATTTCTGCAAGAGGGTTTCATGAGGAGATTTATGATCAAGTAATGGTGTTGGGAGACGATTGACACGATAGACGGCGAGTGGAAAAAGCATGATCCCAAAAGTGTAAAGGTACCGATGCATGATGAAGTAAGGCTCTACCAGTTTCGGTGATATGTCTATGCTTGCGCTCGGCACTGACCATTTTGTTCGGTGTGTAAGGACATGAAGAACGCCGAACAATGCCGAGATGCGGCTAAGTGAGATGTGAGGCTTTGAAATTCACCCCCAGTCGGCTTGAAAAATTTTGATGGTCGTATTGAAAAATTTTTCGACTAGTTGTTGAAATTTTTGGAAACAATTAAGGACTTCGATTTATGTTTGAGAAAATAGATCCAACTATATTTACTTGTAATGATCATAAAATAAAAGGTAATATTTGTGACCTTGAAGAGATGAAATTGGAGAAGGTCCCCATAAATCGAACATATTATTTCTAACGGAGCTTGTGCTCGAGAACTTGAAACGAGAAAATGGAAGTTTATGTGCTTTGCTAATGCGGCAAGCATGACATAAAGTTTGTTTATGAATTTGGGAAACATAAATATTAGATCGACTCAAAACTTTTGTTACGAGTACGCATTGATGCATGACCAGAGACGAGCGTGCCATGTGATCGAGCTGCATGAGTGAGCTTGAGCGAGGAGAGGATGAAGTGGAAGACTTAATTGGTATGGTGTAAAGGCCATTGTCCGGAGGTCCTTTGTGGAGGATTTTCTTCGTGTGGATATCCTTAATCAAGAAATAATCGGGAAAAAATTCCAAGGAGACATTGTTAGTTCGACTAAAAGCGAGAGACGGATAGCAAATTTTGACGGGAATGAGGCACATGAAGAATATGATTAAGTGTATAAGAATGATCATGCACGGATAAGGAGGACGACCCAATGTGAGAAATAAGGAGGGTATTACCATTGCTTATTGTGACTTCTTCGAGTCCCAAGTATTCGAGTGAATAGCTAGGTTGTCGAGATCCGTCGTGAGATGGTGCGTAGCTCCACTATCAAGAACCCATTTAGGGTTGGTTTAGGTGGATGCAAGATGAGATGTGGGCGTGGGCGAGCAAGGTGGTCGAGTTGCATTTGTGTATTTGGGAGAGGGCAAGCTGAGCTGAGATGCCCGATTCCACGACAATTGTAGCAAGTTGGTACCATGGGAGGTGATGGCGTAGGAGACGCGCGAGGGGAACCGAGAGGATCGACGTGTGTTTGGCTAGGTATAAGAACGGCCACGGCCCCTCCGGCGTCCTCGACCACGAGAGGTAGAGGGCTGGCGGTGTGTGTAATGGGCGGTGGGCGGAATTTCGGATGCGTGGGAGACATCTTTCTCTTTTTTGAATTGGATTTCTTCACCGAGTAGTAAGCCGAATAAGTCATCAAAAGTCACCGACCGTAGGCGAGCTTCGATGTTGCGTGTGAATGGTCTATAATCTGCACCAAGACCATCCAAAATAGCATCAACAAGGTCATCCTCCGAGATGGGGTGTTGAAGGGGCACGAAGCTTATCGGAGATGTGTTTTGCACGTTGCATATAAGTTGTGATATCATCATTCTTACGTTCTAATTGATGAAGGAGGGATTTCAATTGTCGAACTTGAGCACGAGAGCCGGAGGCATAAGTGGAGGTGAGTTTACGCCATGCCTCTCTAGCAGTTGTTACTCCGACCACTTGTGATAGAACACCTTCGGATAGGGAAGTAATTATCCAGTGAGTACTAGTTGATCCGTAGCAAACCAATTCGATAGTGTGGGTTAGGGGCTCCATCTATTTGAGCGAGGTGGGGGGATTGCGGAGCCGTCAACATGGTTCGTGACCCCGTATCCTTGAAGAATAGGGGTAATTTGGGTGAGCCATAAAAGATAATTTGTGGAGTTAAGTTTAAGGGAAAGTTGGTGTTGGACATGAGGAAGAGAAGTGATGTGTGTGATTGCTTGGTGGGGAGACTCTATTGGAAGTTCGGTGGATTTGGAGGAGGAAGATTCCGTCATGGTAGGGCTATATGTGATTTGGGCTAGAGGAAGGAGACGATGAACGGTGACGCGCCGGGGAAGGAAGGCGCCGAATGGAGATGAGTTGGATAGGGACGAGTTAGGAGGCGGTGTGTTTTGTTTGTGATTGGTAGCTAGTATGCTTCGGGGTGGTATATTGATTTGCAAGGAGAAACGAAAAGAAAAAAAATGCAACGAGTAGCACGCTGGAAACGGGAGAGAGCGAGAGAAAGAAAAAAAGAATGAAGGAGAGAGAGGAGTTTTGGAGCGAGTGGTCGTTAAGCCTAGTTTTGCTACGATACCATAAAGAGCCAAAAAGTAAGTTGCAAAGAATTATCTTGCATATATTATGTGCTACGGAAACTCTTTAAATAGAGTTTTAAAGTTACAGAGATAAAGATGACTATACACTAGAGTTCTTGTTACAATAGGTTATTGTAATGGATACAACTTCTAAAGATTATCTTGACTAAATCTAATCCTTATCATAGCTTAATCAAAGCCGCAATAATTAAGAAGAAAAAAAAAACAAACAAACATCAAGTTATATTTTAAAAAAAAATTAAGAAAGAATATACAATCATACTTAATTGCGAGATAATTATTGTCTTTTTCATAGATAAAACCCTTCATCCATTTAAACAAAGAAAGATATTTATATTAATAAGGAGTACGAATCAATGATGCAAGGCAGAAGAAAATGGTCAAAGAAATTAGAGGATATATCCCTTTCTTGAAGGTGGAAAATGTGTCCAAAGCTTGAAGAAGACATGGGGCATCGTACGAAATGACCCATTACCAGATGGATGGACCCGCCGGCTATGCACGCTTTTGCTAAAAGCATTTGTGACATTTAATATTTGACCCACTTCTTGAAACATCTTTTAGGCTTGTTCAAAAATTATTCAAATTGTTCCACTCTGTACACTTGCAAGTTACTGCCCCAAATCTGCAGACATGGAGAGACTTCTAGAGACGTTTAAAACAGTAATTCAGAACCATTTTCCACGTACGATCTCTTTGTTCAAGACAGTCGACGAGGTTAATTCCCCTTTGCAAGCTCTTGCTTTTAGCACAATTGCCTATTATTTGACAATTAGGCATTTCCAAGCACATGTAAATAGGGTCACGCGACAAATTCCTGTTTTACCTCGTTCTTGTAGGGAACAATGGGGGCACATTTCATGCCACTAAATACCAAAGACTGAGTTACAAAATCCCTGTTTAACTCATCCATTGCTGTGTCAGTTCAGTTCACTCGAATAAGCTCATTATAGTTCATTTGGCTCTGCCCAAGTTGAGTACACTGTATAACGCCGTTGTTTGAATCAACACCCAATATATATTAAGCCACAAGAGTTGCCTCCTCCTAAAGTAGAGAAATTTCTTCACGAAAAATAGAAAAGTGTATTCATGAAGAACGATTTCAGTCTGAATCAATTTAATCCAACATCTTTGCCAACAATTAACAATAAATTTTTTTTCCATGTAAAAATAGATGAAAACACATTAAAATACAATTATAATGTCACCACTCCTTTCATGAAATTTAGAAGGGGCAATAAAAGAATCTCCATGAAATACAAGATATTCCCCTACATGTAATCACATCAAAAAACAAAAGAGGAAAAACTAATGATAATAACAAACCTCTTTCTTCATTATAAACCTATCTGAAATCAGATGAAAAAAACAACAAAGCAAACACTCGGTTGAAAGATATTATCCAATATACCTGCCTGCTAATTAGGCATATGTCAGGCCATGATAGGTTGCCCCTACTTAGGGTTGCTAGTTCCCTTCTTCTTGAGTAGGCTTCCAAACTTGCGGAGCAGAGGCTTCTTCTTCTTCTGTTGCTGCTGCTTTGAAGGTGAGCTTCCACCATCATCCACATTTTCTGTTGAAGATAAACCATTTATTTGATCAAAGATCTCACCACCATCAACCTTGGAGTCCACTTCCTCCTCGAAGGATCCCTGCTCCGTTTCTCTTTCCGGTGAAAACTCTTTCTTTTCAATCTTGCAACTCTCCCACATCTTAAATTCAACCTCCACAGAGTCATCTTCCTTTTCTTTGCTCTCATCTTCCTTCGGTTTTCCATTCACTTTCTCAATGTTGTGAGCATCCTCATTTTTCACACCATTAACCTGTTCCTGTGCATTTTCTGCTTTCAGCTCATCAGATTGCTGTGGTTGAAGCTCTATTTTGGGCCTCTCTTCTCTCACATGTCCATTTTCTTCAGAGAACTCAACCACCTTTGGGAGCAAATCATAGTCCTTTTCACTATCTGTAAGCTCACGATCTTCCTCCGTTTGCTTTTTAGCCATAGCTTCCTCAAGTAACTTAGACAACTCCTCAACCTTCTTAAGTGAAGATGCTTCCTTAGTCCGGAGATCTTCATTTTCCTGAATAATATTCTGCAACTCATTTTCTTTGTCCAATATACTTTCTTTTAGTTTCATGCTCTCAACCTTTGCTTCTCCGAGAGCTTCCTGCAAAGAAATCACCTCAGCTTCAACTTCCTTCAGGCTATCCTTCAAATGAGCTTCTTCGTCCCTCATTCCACAAGCTTCTTCCTCAGTGTGCTTCAGCAAATTCACCAACCTATCTATTTCTTTTTCCAAAGAGGAGTTTTCTTCTTCTGATTTCCCTACAGAATTCACTAGACTTTTTTCTTTTTGCTCCCATTCAGCCTTTGAATTCTGAAATTCATTCTTGGATTCTTCAACAGTGTTTCGAAGGAGATCAATCTCAAGTTTTGCATCACCAAGCACAGTTTCACATTTTTCATTAGTTGCCTTCAGGACCAATCTCAAGTCTTCTATTTGGGTTTCATAGTGTTCACGCTCCATTTGATTGGATACCAGACTTTCTTTGGCTTCCCTTGCTTCTGCAGAAACTTCATGTAAGGCTGAAGCTAAACTTTCCATTGCCTTCTTGCTCTTTTCCTCCTCATCCCTGGAATTCTCCAACTCAGTTATGAGTTTGTTTTTCTCTTCTAACAGACTTACAACACTAGAAGCTGCAAGCTTTTCATTGTTCAAAGCCTGGGCTTTCTCTTCCTTCACAGTTTCCAACTCAAACATCAGAGACTCTACCCTTTTAGCCATGACCGATGCTTCTTCCTTTACCATACCTAGAGAATTTTCTGATTCGTCAAGATCTCCTTTCTGCCTTCTAATTGTCATTTCCAGCAAGCCAACCTTCTCTTTAAGAGCAGCAATTTCAGTTTCTGCATCATGCAATAAATCATTGTTTGCTTCAAGTTGTTTCATGACCGAACCCAAAGATTCCGATGCAGATCTCTCCAACTTACTTGCTTCTGCAGCCTGCAACTCTAATTCCTCAACCCTGTTTTTCCACTCCTCTACTAAGTTGCATGCATAAGATTCAGCCATCTTGGCAGCTTCTAGCTCAACATTGAGCTGTTCTATGAAAGCCTCTCTTTCACTCAACATATCCTCAAAACCTTTAGCTTTCTCAAGCTGCTGTTTCAATGAATTTATCTCATCATTAAGCTGCAACACCATTTTGTGGCTTTCATTAGCCTCTGTTTGAAGCTTTGAATCAAGTAATACCTTCAAGCGGCTCATCTCAGCTGAAAGAATCTCCACCTTCTCTGCATGAATCTCAGCAATCTTAGTTGCATCGTCAGCATGACTCAGTGCCTGGTTCTTTGCATCAGTAGTCATGGCCAGTTCTTGCTTCAACCTTTGAGCCTCCTGAGTGGTAGAGAGAAGGGCAGTAACATCCAAAGCATGCTGGCTTCTTACAGCTTCAAGCTCTTTCTGCCATTCCTCTTCCTTCTTCTGGGCCGTCTCAATCCCAGCCTGTTCCAACTCAACAGCTCGGAACTTCTCAATCTCAGAATTCTCCTCAGCTCGCTTTTGAGCCACCAAAGCTTCTTGAAGCTTCTCGTTTGCATCCTCAGCTGCTTTCTGTGCTTGTTTCAGTTCATCAATTGCTTGAGCCTTCTCTTTTTCAATCAATTCTATCTGCTCCCTTGCTCTCTTTAAATCTTCCTGAACACGATTCAATTGAGCCTGCAACTCTGAACCCTTCACCAATCGTGTCTGTGGTTTCTGAAAACAAAATTCATTCAATAAATACACACAGGATAGCACAAATTTCACTTTCATAATAAAATGTAGCAAGGAGACATGCAGCCCCATTTTCAGGAAACTCCATTTACATTGAAAAACATTAACTGAAATGGCACAAGAAACATACTTTAACATTCAATTTATCAATACTAGCATTCATAGTTTCCCCATAACAAAACATATCCAATACAAGAAATTTCAAGAATCAGTTTTTCCCATGCTTTCATTTTTATTACAAGGAAACGACATCCATTAGCAACAATGTATCACAAAAGTTCATTCTTCCAGAAACCAAACACATACTTCAAAGCAGAATCAAACATGCATAAAATGTTGATGATGAAAATCAAGAAATATTTGTTGCATTTATTTACTTACTTCAGGGGGTGTAGTGCTAGTAAGCTTTGGTGTCCTACGATCAACCGTGGGCTTTGAACTTATGGATCGTGGTGATCGATCGATCGAAAGACGAGAGCTTTGCAGGGGAGAAGGCGAATCAGACTCTGATTTAGCCACTCCTCGGCTCAGTTTACTAACTCTAGGAGTTGCTGGTGATGGTTTGCTAGGAGGAGTTTCAGACAAACCAGATCTGTTCAAGTTTTAAAGTACCATCACTACACTATCACATAAAAAACCACCATATATTAAACACAAAATGCAAGATATACATAAACAAAAAAATATCAACCCGAATAAAAATTAAGATGGATCTATGTCCAATTTGGGAACTTTTGTAACACAACGAAGAGTTATAATAGACACTTAGATCAAACCTATCCAACAGCATATATATGTATATATAAAGAGACATAAATCAAAATTTAACTTTTGGGCAGAAATTGTACGTGAACAGATCCAAATAAGAAAACAATTAAATCACAGGAAAATGATAATGAAGCAAAGATCAGGATTAAGAACAAATAAATGAAGCAAAACCCATATCCAATGTTAACTCAAAACCCAAAATTAATAAACAGGGAAAGTGAAGTTGCAGTCATAAGTGGAGTGTCACCAAAAGAAGAAAAAACAAAGATATGCACTTTGAATTCAAAATTAATAACAAGGAAAAAAAAACCTGATGAAGAGCAGATCAAACCCACTAATCACATAATCAATAACAAAATTTCCATATTTGCAATCAAAATTAAAAATTTGTAACACCCATTGAAGTAAAAATAGTAACTGTGAGAAAAAAAAAATCAGATCCTTTTCTATTTAACCCATTAATCACATAATCAATAACAAAATTTCCATATTTGCAATCAAAATTTGAAATTTGTAACACCCATTTAAGTAAAAATAGTAAAGAAAAAAATCAGATCTTTTTTCTACTTACCTGGTTTTTGAAGACATGTTGTAGTCTTGGTTGATGATAGGATAACAGGAGAGAAGTTGGAAAGAAAATGTGTGTTTTTTGTGTTGAATGGGATGTGGGTTGTGTTGTAAATGCTAAAATGCTGACATTGTGTAAGAGAATATGATGTAATGTATTTTTTATTTTTTTCTTCTTTTCCTTCAGATCAGAGAGACATATAGAGAAATGACAGAGCAGAAGAACAGAACACAAGTTGTTGAAGTTAGAAGAGAAGGTAGTAGCTAAAGAGAAAAAAAAAAAAAACAGAGAGAATTTACAGAAGGAGAGAGGAGAAACAAATTATTTGGGTTGGTGTTCCTGTCTCCATAGTGGCCAGGCCACACTCAAAAAACACACAAAAGTAGTTGCCCTCTCTCTCTCCTTCATCTTTGCAAGTTACTATAATAATAATAATATTAGGAGAAACATTTTTTAGGTTCATTTGGTACGAGAATGCCCCTAGTGTAAACAGAAGACATGGAGTGGAGTCTTGCATGGTCTGTCAAAAGGTATGTATGCCATAGGTTCCTTTTCAGAGATTTGCGTTACCATGCTGACCCCAGTTACAAAAATGGAAAATACCCCTACCCATGGATGAGTAAATTATAAATTAGTCCCTCTTGTTTTGACAAATAAATTGATTAGTCCTCTTATTTCAAAAATTAATTATCTAGTTTCTGTGTTTTAAATCTACTTATAACCTTTTGCTCATTTTCAATTTATTTAATTTTTTATTTTAAGAAATAAAAATATTAATCAGAAAAAATATTTTATAAAATAAAAATAATATTAAATTAAATATGGTCAATACTTGATAAAAATAAAATAAATAATAATTTTTTAAACAAAGGATTAATTAATTCATTTCTTGAAACTAGAGGAACCAATTTATAATTTACTCCCTAATTCATTAGACCCTAATTTTGGAAAAGTTGATAACTTGGAGGTTGGATTTTCGGTCTTTGCATTTAAATTTGATTTTCAAGTACAAAAATGAAATAGTTGAAGGATTTTTTTCCCTCGTATAGGAAGCAACAAATATTATTTGGTGCGTGGGAGACAAAAATAATGTACAACAGTATATATGGTTAGAACAAAAAAATGAAATTTTGATCATTTAGGGGTTATTTTGTATTATTTTTATTTTCTATTTTTTGAAAATAAAATATGAAAATTTGTTTTTTTCAATAAAATAAAAACTAAACCAAATAAAATGGCTGTCAAAAGTTTTCAAAACTAATTTTTTTACATTAAAAATATATAATTTAGGAGTTATGTTAAGCTCGAGATGTTAAGAAATAAAAGTGGATTGTATCCGAGCCAAACCTAACATGGACGGAGGCAACCCAATCTCGAAATCAAGTTTGGAATGCTCAAGGATTGGGTTGGGATCGAGTCAAGAGTGACAAAGGATCAAAATCGAAGTTGGGGTGGGTTCGAGGCACCTTGAGTTTGGGATGCCTAGATATCGAGCTAGGACCAAATACAAGACACCCAAAGATCAAGTTTGAAATGCCCAAAGATCGTGTTGAGGTCGAGTTTAAGGCTTTCACTAATCTACTCTTACTAGCATTGTTAATTGTCTTATGCTCCTTTTTCATTCACTTTTCCCTTCTTTCTTTTAGTTTTGTTTGCTTTCTTTATGATGAAAAACATAATTGCAAAGCCTCCTCTTTTTCACACCTTCTATCCAAACCATGCTAAAATACACACCCCTTTTATTGTACCAAAACATAAACACCAAAAACACTGCTTGTCTATGTCAAAAACAACCTACAAATCGAGTCAAAATACCTTCCTTAAATCAAGACAAACATGCAAAACAATACAAAAATACACCATCTTAGTCTCTTTCCTTGGGTATTTTGTGGATTAATCTTGTAAAATCAAGGGCCAAAACTTAATAATAATTAAAAAAAAACTCAAAAACTTGTCCTTAGATACTATAAAACAAGGCAATGTTGAGTGCAATAAAGGGGAGGATTTTTAGCTAGCTTTGAGTGAGTTAGAGCCTTGGTTCGAAGAGGGAAACAAAGACAAGTAAATATAAAATAAGGAAACACAAGAAGAAGAGCAAGGAAAAGGTAAGAAACTAAGGAATTCGGTTAAAAAATTTAACCCCTAAGCAAGGTTACGTTGCTTTTTTGTTGTTGTTTCGGGTTGGTTCATGCATAGTGTCCCGAGTATATATCTTTACTAATTTCTTTTATGTAATAACCCGAATTAAAAAAAAAAAAGCTGGTATAAAAGAAGTAGTAACTCGTCATTTTTCTAGATTTTTCCTCTCTTTTCTTTCCCTCTCTCACGAGATTTTTCTCCCAAATATTCTTCCAAACTTCTCTTCAATTCATAAGCTAATCCATTGTTCAATTAGCTTAGGAAAACCAAAAGTAAAAGGATTCAAGTGGAGTCTAAGTAGCTTTCAAGTGGAATCTAAGTAGCTTAGAGCTTGGGAAGCTTGGAAAACTTGGAAGAATGTAGGATTTGAAGGACATTATGTTAAGTTAAGATCTTTGATCCATTGATCTTTAAATTTAAAGATCCATTGATCTTTAAATTATAAAGTTTATATGTAATTAAGGATGATATTGAGTTGGAATAGCTTTGGATTGTAAATTACTTAAGGAATTGCTTAGGTTAAGATTAAGGTTTTAAGACCCATTTAGAGAAAAATGATTCTAAGTGATCATGATGGCTTGAATGATATTTAATTATCTTGGATAAATGAAATAAGAAGTTAATTTGAAGTGGAATCGAATGAATTTGCAAAATTAAGAGGTTGAAGATGATGAATAGTGAAAAATCCAAAATTAGGTTTTAATTGGAAATAAATTGGAAAAATGAGGCATTAAGTCATAAAAGTATGATTAGAGGTCAATGGAATGAGTATTGGATGAATTAGAATCGAATTGATCATTTAATAGAATTAAGGGTTAATTGATTGAGGGTTGATTGTTTAATAAATGTGATTAAATGATTGCTTTGATTGTTTAAAATCAATTGAACGATTATAGAATCTAGTTAGGTTTTCGGTTCGAGTCTTTCCAATCAATTCCATTTTTATTCGATAATCTTGTATTCTAATTTTAGAATAATTCATTGTTGAGATTATTCCTTGGAGTATGGTATTGATGGATGATTCATCATTTTGTGATGCTAGATTCTTCGAAGCGGAAGACTCCATCCTAACTATTTTAATTCCTTCGGTTCTTCAAATTATACCGTGAGTGGATATTATATAGTGTACTGTATTTAAATTCCTTTGAATCATATCTATCATGCATCATTGATTTATAAACGATCTAGAAGCATTTCGTTAGAACTTAGATGGGAATAGACTCCCTAAGTATTGAAAATATTTTCATATCAAAATGATTTGATGTGAATGGAAAATGAGATTTCAAAGTGTTGGACAAATGTGTTAATGGTTTTGATATGTGTTTTCGAAATTAAACATGAATGTGTTATATTTTCTATTTTGAGTATTCGTATAATTTTTTGAAATGCATGCATGGTATTTGAGGTGTCAATTTGAAAATGCATAAGTATGTTTGGTTTTCGAAAAATGTTTTCAAGACCACTAGGGAACCTAGCTACCGGGGCTAGCCTTTAAGCCCAATGATACAAGGTCCCTCTAGTAGGAGATGTGTAGTGCTAGACCGTGTGTTGGCCAACATATGAAAACATAGTCACGAGGGTGTGACCTTTGGGTGTTCGTACCTAATGACACGTTATTATCCTACGGATGTATAAAAACCTATATATGTATTTTCGTATGAGTACGATATATGTATGTATAAATGTTTCAATGATTTGATACCAAAATGATTTTGAACTATTTGGTTTATGATATAAGATGTGTTTTTGATATGCATGTGTTTTGAGAAATAAGCATTGCATTTTGACATGTATTTGAGAATATCTTCCTTAGTTTGTTTCCTCTCCCTTAGTGTATCATATAATGTCTACTCACCGAGCTATGAATTGCTCACCCCTTATTATTTCGAGTCTTGTAGGATATTGAGGGATTGTTCATTAGTTCATTTTGGTTGCTTGATTCGAATTCGACATATTGATCTGTATGCCTTACTTTTTTGTAAATTTCTTAGAACCTATGTTTGTCTTAAAGGTATTCTTAGATGCTCTATAGTCATAACTGTGGATAGTGTATTAGAATTTGATTAAGAATATTAATCTTGGCTATTGAAATGAGAATAGCATGAAATTTATGAATTGTATTAAGGTGGAAGAAATGTCTATTAAGTCATGATAATGCTAATTGAAGTGACATCAATTTGGGAACTACGAGTATAAGTTCGATCATGATTTGAGGTTTAATTTAATGTCCGAGGCTTGCTTGGGTCGAGGTAAACCTCACGGTTTTCTCGATCCTCACACCGATCATGGCTCACTCTTGGGGTCGTGACATTTTAGTTTTGAATGCTTTTTAGATGTTGATGAACCATAAACTTTTGGTCTAAATAGAGGGAAGGCATGCCATTAGAATCAAAATTTTACTTGCTTATGGTTGTATTTATTGGTTTTGCTCCTCAATCAATGTTAGCCTAGTGTAGTTGCTTTTAATTCTTAAATGCCTAGAGTAGATGTTTAGGGGTTTGGTTTTGGTGGTGAAATTGCTGCAAAAAAAAAAACAAATGAAATTACGCGTATATTTCATCCATATACTCTTGGTATTTTTTTAATATGGTCTTTTTACTTTTTTTTTCATATTTGATCCCTCTTCTCTAGATATTTTGTTAATGTGGCCCATTTATTAAGATTACGGTCGGTTTTCACGCAACAAATGACAAATAAACTATCACAACAAATAATAGTGACAAGTGTCAAAAAATTTTATTTCAAAAAAATTATTATTTCCTATTTTTTTAGTTTCATTTCATTAATTTTTTTATTTTTTGAAATAATTTTTTATTAATCTTTTTTTCTTCTAAGGTATTTTATTATAGTCGAGAACTCGGCAAGTCATATTCATGCAACA